GTGGACCTCATTCCTCTGGGTCTACTGAAGACCCTTCTACCAGAAGAATCTGGCAGAGAGCCCCTCCCTCCAGCAGGCCATCAGCCACACATGACACTAATAAACACATAAGCAGTCTTCTCTCCCAGCAGGATGAAGCCTCTGCAGACCCAGCATCTCCCCAGGCTGTAGCATGTGTGCCACGGAGAGCGAAATGCACACTCTGAGCCCTCGATTCCTGCATCCCTGGGATGTAAAGATCACTCAATTTCTCCCAACTCATCTTATCTCCTGAATTATTCCCACCAGCAATGAGTTGCTTCTCACAAGTCAATGCCCGTGCCTGCTGCAGCAGAACCCTGATGAATATGGAGAAGACACAGCCTCAGCTTCGGGCCTGACAAGCAGACCGAGAGGGAGTGTTCAAGAAGTACTTCTCAGGAATAAATCAGCATTAACAGCATGTTAATCTACCCCTCTGCTAATGTATTCTACTGTGCTCTGGTGACCCCGCCATTATGTCAGGGGTTTCAGTGAGTTATGTTCTGCAGCAGCCCGCCAACATTCCCCTGACCTTAGCGTAAATCAGGGAGCTAGAAAACTCCCCAGGGAGAAAGAAGGGAAATGCAATTGGAATCATTTGCAGGGAGGCCTGAAAAATGGGACGCTGCGGAATTAAACATAATGGAGAGCCCGCGTGGCCTTCTGTCACCCTGTCATTTAGGAAACAAATCTTTCTTAAGGAAAAGATCAAGACACAGGTAGAGTTTGAAGAAGATAATCCGCTAAATGGCTTTTACTGAAAATAAAGAGAAATGACCTTGGAAGTGAACTCCCATTTGGCTCCAGAGTTGGCAGCTAAGCCTCCTCCTTCAGTGTGGATGTAGACGGATTATCCGGCAAGCATTCGCGTTCTGTAAACCCAGCCATGGGGTGGAGTTGTTGAGTTGTTAGGGTCTTTTAAGGGGTGGGGGCTGGTGGACACTGGGGACTTCCATTCGGGGATTGGTACAGTTCTTCCAAGGCTGCAGTTGCTTCCCAGGAATTGTTATAACAAGAGTAAGTGGGACCTTGAATCCCTCAGACTTCTTGTGATCTCCCCCGCCATGGTGACTCCACCATGCTGCCATGAAGCCAGCGAGCCCTCACCGACGGCTGACCAACTTTAGACCTCAGCCTTGAAACATTGCTCAGTCTCAAAAAATTTGGCTCCTGCAACAGAATATTATTATACCCCCAGACACACACTAATAAATATTCCTGTGGGTCTAATATTTCCCTGGATCCATTACATCTTTTGCCACAAGTAGCTGGGAGGTCACCTGCCAGGATAGTTGTGTTTTCTTTGTGAAACAAAAGCATTGAGCGTTTTTCCTCATCCTCTCTACCAAAAGACATGCTCTCCAGCTTCCTGACCCCAGTCCCTCCAACTCTTCACCTCCCCTTCCTCTCTCATTTCTTTTGCTGTTGCTTAACTATGATCTCTAGAAAAATAAATTGTGGGGCCTCTTGTACAGACATTAGTAAGACTTTCATGACAACGAAGGGTCCTTGTGACCTCTTCAGGGATCATGTGTCTAGAGCCAACCTGTGTTCAGTATTTTTTTTCCCCTCCATGTATTATGGCCACCAGCAGGGGCCTCCTGTTCTTCCACCCAATCTACCAAACACTTCTCCACAGACACTCTTCAGAGAAGGGCAACATGCTGCTTCTGTTGATCAATTGATTGGTTGATCTCTCTCTCTCTCTCTCTCTCTCTCTCTCTGTGTGTGTGTGTGTGTGTGTGTGTGTGTGTGTATAGATTCAGGTCTCACATATACTAGTCAGTTGCTCTACCACTGAGCCACATCCTCAGCCCTCACCCATTCTTTAATATGAACAATAGCTTTCTGCCCGTATTGCTGTGCTTGTGGCTCCTCAGACTTCTGAAGTTGTCTCGGCTCTTGTGGTCGTCAGTCCTGATTGTTAACTGTAAGCAGGACTGGGAAGGTGTCTTCTGGAAGGATCCACTGAGACAGGCGGACCCTCTCCAGAGCTAACAGCATCAGCAGGTAGAGGGAGGTCCCAGGGAAAGCTGGTGGGTTTGCCTGCTGAGTGCATCTGCTTTGTCATGTTCCACTGCCACCCACCACGGACACTGAACCCAGGGTCCCCAGCCTTTTCAGGGGAGGAGGCAGATCATAGCATAGGCTAGTCCGTCTACATTTCAGCCTTCACACTGCCTGGAAGATAAGGGCCTTCACACTCTGCCCCTGGCAAGCTGACCTTTAAAAATTCCAACATCGGTATTTCACCTAAAAGAGTTTTATGTCCCTATTACCAGAACAGAAGCAACCTGTGTGCAGCCACCACGGCCAGGCCAGCACCATCTCAGCCTCTGGAGCAGCTGGGCTTACAGGATGCAGAAGCTGAGAGGATGAAGAGAAAAGGACAGGACCGTGCCAGCGAGGGCTGCGGAGCCCTCAGATGGGGCAGAGCAGGTCAGAGCTTTCACAAAAGGGCACACCCAGCAGGTGGTTCCGACTCAGCACAGGAATGCAGGGAAGCCCCATTCCAAGTGGCACACAAGGCCCCTTAAGCGTCACACCGAAGGCTGGGACCAGCACTGAGAACGGACTCAGGACCTGGGGAAGCTAGCCACAGATCCACAGGGTGGCTCAGCTTCCTGGAGTTCAGGCTATCTGCATGGGAGGCTTGGCGATTTCCTTTGTATCAGATTCGCCTGGCTGGCTGCCACGTGCCTCCTCTCCCACTGAGCCGAGTTTAATTGGCTCTTTTAATAGAGTCCTGTTAATGCAAGCTTTCCTTCCATTACCTATTTTTCTGTAACAAACTAAACCCTACAGATTCAGAAGTGCAACTGAACCACCACTGCCACCCTGGGTCCCTCCCTGCGCTAGAAGAGAGATCTACCCTTAAACAACGCATCAAGTTAGCAGATGCCAGTCTGTGTCACAAACATTTGCTGCAAACAGCCCCCAGGGGACTGCAGAAGGGTGCAGCACAGCTCTCTCTCTCTCTCTCTCTCTCTCTCTCTCTCTCTCTCTCTCTCTCTCTCTCTCTCTCTCTCTCTCTCTCTCTCTCTCTCTCTCTGTGTGTGTCTGTGTGTGTGTGTGTGTGAGAGAGAGAGAGAGAGAGAGAGAGAGAGAGAGAGAGAGAGAGAGAGAGAGAGAAGAGAGAGACAGAGAGAGACAGAGAGAGAACTGCAGCATCTAATTTGGGACTGCTGCTCAGTGTTGATGCTGGGGGCTGACTGTGAATGGAAGGAAAACAAAGGGACATTGCCACCCACTGCCACTGTGAAGCAGGGTCAGAGGTAGTGGTCATGGGTGGGGTCTCTTGTGCTCTATTCCAGGTCATGACTGGGGCTGCTGAAGGCTACCCATCCTACCTTCTTCATAGGTGACAGGGAAAATGAAGTGTGCATGTATAATTGTGGCTCCTGTACCACCTAGAACTGCATGCACTATATGGTGCCCTCCTTAACTAGTGGCCACGGCCTAGCTCTCAGGATTTTCTACTGCAAGCTCACCAGATACCACTTCCTTGTTATCAGGGACTCATGAGAGTCTCGTGCTCACAGCAGTTGCAAGCATAGGAAAACAAGTTGTTTACTCGGGCAGGCAAGGGGTCATAAAAGCTCAGGGTCTGAGGGTCTGCAGTCCCCGACATATGATGACACTTGTGTGGAGGGATACTCGCCCATTAAAAGAAAGAACCTTGCCAGAAAGGAGGAGGAAAGAGCTTGAAGCCAGAATTGTGGGAGAAATGTGTCCACAGTTAGGTGAAACTAGGCTTTGAAAATGCCTTAAAGGCACGCTGTGACATGCAAATGCGCATTGCTCTGGGAGGCTATAAATAGATGACATTGCCAGCCATGCAAGTATAAGGGAAACTGTTCCTTCACAAAGACAAACCCCCAAATGAGCAATTGTCCAAAGAGACCAGTGATGCCTTCTGCAGCATCAGATAAGTGCCTAGCTCACCCCTGCTGCTGACCGCTTCCTGGAAGGAGGAAGTCATATTGGCCATGACTCAGGTATACATCCATGAACACTGGGTCAAGGACAAACTGAAGAAACTGGAGCTGTCAACACCTTCCAGCTTCACCCCATTAACCCTTCTCTTATGGTATTCTGAAGATCCCAGGGTATATGATCCACTGGTCAATCTCCAAAGGAAGTAAAGCCACTCTGAAATGCCTTGGCTCTGGCTCTCCTCCCTGCAAGAGTGGGTTACCTTGGAGGTCTAGGGCCATTATCTCTATCTAGACCAAAAGATGGGTGTCCTATTGTCCATTGTCAAGAGGATTTGGGTTCAGGCTAAACACTAAAGCCTAAACACTCTGCCTTATGGGAATTGGGGCTTGCATGGGCACACAATATTAGTTTTCTGGCAATTACTATGATCTGCACAAGGAAGTTCTTTTTCTGACCAGGAGTTTCATGTCTTCAACCAGCAGCCATGAAATAGCTGCAAGCTGTCCTGCAAGCTGCAGGCAGGACAACACCTTGAGCTGACAGTTTGGGATGGTTCTACTTAGGGCTACTACTGCCGTGATAAAATACCTTCAGCAAAGCAACCTGGGGAGGAAAGGGTTTATTTGGCTGCCTGTCCACATCACTGTTCACTAAAGGAAGTCAGGACAGAAACTCAAACAGGGCAGGAACCTGAGTCAGAATGCAATGATCATGGGGGATGCTGCTTACTGGCTTGCATCTGCCTGCTTGTTTATAGAACCCAGGGCCAGCAGCCCAGACAGAGGTTGCACCACTCATGATGGGCTGGACCCCCCCCCATCACTAACAAATGCCCTACAAGCTTGCCTACAGCCCGATCTTATGGTAGCGTTTTCTCAAATGAGGTTCCCTCCTTCCTTTAGCTTGACATAAAGCTACACCGCACAAGGACACTGTTTCCTCGCGTCTATGAATGACACCCTGACATTAATTCTCAGGCAACAATCCCAAACAGCCCTCCTTTAGAACCTCTGCCAGAATCAGAACCAGGTATTGCTCACCAGAACAGAAACTTCATTCTTCAGGTCAACGTGGTAGGCTGAGCTCTTGACAATTACAGATAATGGATGTGAGTAAAACCTGGAGAGGACTTCTCGTGATCCCGCCGGCAGAGCTGACATGAGTGCTGGCGGCTTCAGCACACCTCCACCCTCCCTCCTGGGTCTGGCTGTAGTGGCTGAGGCTGCCTGCCAGCCATGAGCTCTGGGTGAATGAGCCATGACTGACGTGTGCTTACACATGGTAGAAATGCTCAACCAAGGAGGGGCGGGAGAGAATGGGGAAAACCTAAAGAAGAGGAAGAGAGTTACTCGAAGGAAGGGCATACAAAAAGCCACATGGAAATCTATCTTACAACCCAGCTAAAACTATAGTTGGAGGGATAGTGGACTACCACGTAGCCTGAAAGAAGGGAAGGGACACCGGGGAACCGGGGAGTAAAGATTTCAACAGAGATGCGGAGAGGGAGGGGAGGGAGGAGGAGATAGAAGAGTGTGTTGTCCTCTTTCATCGTCTTCCTATCCCAGTCAGCAACTGCAACTCTTCTGCTACCAGCAGCGGCTAGAAGAGCCACAGACGGAAGACCTTCTGTTCCCTCCGGCACCAACTCTTTCAAAGCTACTAAGAGAACTTACCTAAATCTGTCTCACTAAAGAACTCAAGACCCAAAGGTTGAAGTAGAATCCTGCTCCCCAGAAAAGCTGAATAGCAAGCAGCCCACCCAGCTCACCTCCTCAGTCTCCCAAGTCCCCGTGCCCTTCCTGGCCCCTGTTTATAAACCCTTCTCCACCTGGCTCCTCCCTACAACTTCACGTCAGCTCATTGTGGATGCAGCCTCTGGACCACAGGTGACTTTTATTTAATCAAGCACATCTTTGCATCATCAAACAAATGTTCCAGAGCATAAACAAAAGAAGCACACCTTTCAGTAATATTCTACATGAGTTAACTAAAGGATATATGAGCAAGCTTTATAGATGCCCACCAGTTAATAACCTAACTTTGAAACATATTTTTTCCCAAAAAAAGTTTGAACGGTGCTACCAGAGACTATCAAAACCATGGGCCATTAAATGAAATTATCACTGCAAAGCGTGCAATCCCTCCCCATACGTTATTGATCAGGGAGACCCCAGAGGCCACGGCCACCAAAGTAGCTCAGGCTGTTGCTGTTGCTTCTGGTTACCCTCTAGAGCTACATAGTGAGACCCTGCTGCTAAAGACACCATATGCGTCGCAAGATGGAGAGAAAACAGGCACAAACCCATGGAGGGTATGTCCTCCATGCTGACTGGCTTTCCGAGTGGTGGAAGGTGTGTGCAGGTTGTTAGGGGAAATGGACATCAGCGATCTCACTCGGCACCGGACCCTGAGTGCCACAACACCAAACTGCCATGCACGATGTGCCCACTGGTGCCGCAGTGGTAGGAACGTTATGGGGTAGCTAACAGCTTTTTATTGGGTCAGAGGCCTCCTTAACAGGATGGAAATCATGCCTGCTATAAACCTGGCCAAAAGTCCATGGTGGGGAGATTATGGACCCTAGGGTAGAACCCATTGTTGTTACTCTGCTAATTGTTCATATTGCCAGACTGCCTTCTAAATACATATGCTTAAACTCCTAGATCCATGCAGCTTTCCACCTGGTCAGAGAGGCTCCTCTGGGCTGTTGTCGGCAATCAATGCTGAGACCCGCAGCTGCTCAAAGAGCTAAGACTAACGTCTCAGCCTTAAATATCTTTATCAATACCTTGAGCCTCCACCAAGGCTCGGGCAACACTAAAAAGGGGGAGACAGAAAATATGTGAGCTTCTGAGAATGGGGAGGGGGTTCCGAAATGCTTTCTTCTGGACACACCATGGTCATCACATTCATGAACTCAACAACTGCTCTGGTTACATGAACAAGACCTGCGCAACATCAAGCCTGTCAAGCCATCAAAATTTCAGAATTAGGGGTGGAGCGGGAACAAGGCCCTGCCACTAACTATGGAACCAGAGGCAGTTAATGGCTGCTGGGGGCGGGAGAGCCATTCTTTTGGTTCTTCCATGTTGAGGTGGGACAGTAGATGCACGTGGAGACGGCACCAGATGGACTTAACAGTTAAGTATATGCTGTCTACCCCACCTAAGTTAGTTGTAACGCATCACTCAGCAGGGCTACTGTGAAGTCACAGGGCCCCAAGGCAAGGCAGTAGAACGGCTGCCTCACCTCCACACCTGAGTCTTCTCCCTGCCTGGCCCCAATTGTCTCCAGGTTTGCTTGCTGTGGAGAAGCTACCAGAAGTATTACAGACATAGTCAAGCCCATACAGGAAGCTGTCTCTAAGCCGCACGCTCTCGGAGAGCTTGGTACGCACGAAAGACGACCACACAGTCCTCTGGGTTGGTGCTAACACAGAGGAGTGGGACTGATAGGTAACTGAACCCCGTCATAGTCCATCCGCTGGGCTCTTACCTCCAAAGTCCCTCACCTAAGACAGACTAGAGTTCTGCTGGGATTGAGGGAGTGGGAAGAGAGGGGTGGAATGACTTCTGATGAGCAAATTTATGTAACAGAGAATTTAAAACTCAGAGTTATAAACATAGACACCGAGCCCCTCTGGTCAGTACCGAAGCAGACGGTACCCGCAGCACTGCACGGACACGTGCCTCGGCAACTCTGGAAACAAGGCAGAAGTTGCAGGCATGTGCTTAGCTTGTCCGTCCCAGCAGGCTGCTCTGCTTTTCAAAACTAAACAGACCTTCCTTTTACTGTGATTTGGAATCACAATACTAAAGCTATAGGCAAGTCAGCGCCTTTGGGGAAATATGCCCAAAGCAGGGTTAGTACGCTTAGTATCAATGACTATCAAAGTCATTGAGTGATTTGCATAAAATATTCAATAATTACATAAGAAATTATAGCACCTGGTATTCAATTTTAAAATGCTGAGGTCTTGAAAAAATGGGAATATCCTGGGGGATCAGGCAACCCAACTATAAAGGACGTGGAGAGAACAAGATGGTTTCCCTCACTAAGCCATGACTTGTGGGATACTGGAGTAATGGAGGCGGAGGGTCAGAAAAAGCTGAGTCCAGTATTAGTCCAGCCACACTAGAAAGCTCTCCTTTGGGAAATGAGCTGACAAAGGTGTCACTAGGTCTGAGACTGAACAGCTGAAGTCACAGCCAGCCATTGTCAGCGTTCTCCCAAGCTCAGGGTGTTAGCACCCCGACTCCTCCCCGCCTTTGTCCAGGTAAATCTCAGAACTCTGCCACCAGCAACCAACCCAGGGGAGTTTTCCATGCTGAAAAGACGGCTCAGTGAGTAAGAGCAGTTGCCAGAATACCCTACACCCATAACAGTAGCTCCCAACCACCTGTAATTCCAGCTCCAGTGGACCCGACACCCTGCTCTGGCCTTGACGTGCAGGTGCACACACACGGCAGAGACACAGACACACAAACACACCCAGAAGAACACGAAATGACTCTAAGAGCCAAGTCGGGCAAAGCACTCGATAAATAAAATTATTTTTCAGAACATTATACTATTAACATGAAATGTAAAATATTTAAAAGGGGAACATTTAATCAGTGAATCGAGGGTCAACAGAAGAGTGAGCGCTAAGAAAATAGAGTTGGGACATAAGGAGCCAAGTTCCTATGCCTAAGAGAAATGACCAGTTTGGGGGCTGGTTTTCAGAAAAGTCCTTCTGAACAGTGGTTTCCAGGGTGTTTGTGTTCCTTCTGGGCAGATCAAAAGCAGCCCCGGACACTGACAAACATCATCCCAGAAGATGGGTCAGAGGGGGCTGGCTCACAGGGCCTCAGCAAACAGGGTCTTCCTAATTAGCAACCATGACACCCACAGCAATTAACACTAGTTATTCTTGTCCACGGAGGACAGGCTGAGAAGACATCCCCCACCCGAAACAAGCGACTGAGGATTTCCTGGATGCTTTTATCAGGACTAATTAGTAGTGGTTCTTGGCTTCCGTGGTTGCTCTGAAAGCCTGACAAAGCTCCATTAGGCAGGAGAGTCACAGGGCTCCTCTCTAAGGACCCCGTGACCCCACGCCCTGCCAGGCCAGGCTCCCCCCAGACTGAACAGTATTCAAACCAAGGAGCTGGAGGCTCTCGCTGCCATATTTCATTCTCTGGGCACCAGCACTGGGAACCAACGGGACGTGCAGAACTGAGCTAATCCAGGTCGTCAGTTCAATAAATCACTGCGGCCCTCACACAAAGACAGCCTGTGTTCAGTACTGCAGGAGCGACCCAGACACCGAGCCAAGTCGTCTGGGTCTCCTGGGAGGCCAGGGAAGACAGAGAGGATTTTTTTAAAATAAGTTTATAATTGACATAGAATTACATCACCTTCCTCCCGCACTCAAGTTGATAGCCTGTTTTCCTTAGATTAGTTTTGTTACCATGCATAGTTGTGAGGGATGTATTATGTGTATATGTTTGCATTTATGTGTGTATATGCACAAATACATATAAATACAACCTCCCACGTCTACCCTGATTGGAATATTGTACGTAGTAGACATGTATCACGATGGTGGCACATAGTGGCTCATACCTGTATTCACAGTGCCCAGGAGTCTGAGGCAGAGGAATGCCCACAGGTCCAAGGCTAGGCTGGGCTACACACCTTGTTCCAGGCCAGTTTGTGATACTGAGTGAAGTGTTGACTCAGGAAAAGAAAGACGGGGAGGGGCAGGCAGTGGTTGGTGCACGCCTTTAATCCCAGAATTTGGGAGACAGCCTGAGGTCAGCCTGATCTACAGAGGCCCAGGATGGCCGGGCCACAAAGAGAAACTTTGTCAAAAAAAATTAAGTGCTTTTTTGAAAGAAAGGGGGGAGGGAGGGAGGAAAAAGAAAAAAACATCTTGTTTCGGCCCTTTTCTCGGGAATAAGAGGCACTCTGGCAATCTAAAGGCAGAAGCATGCTTCCTAAACCATTTTTAAAAACATGAATATAAGTGCTGCAATTTTTCAATTATCTCCACTAATGCCAGCAAAGAGAGGCAGGTATTCAAAATCAGATATGCTAAAAGGTTGCCTAGATTGGGCCAGAAAAGGCAATTTACATTCACATTTGAATAAAAGCCAGTCCTACTGTCTGAGAATATTTAATTATTGGGACCAAACAATGGAGGGCTCATTTGAGGACACCACTGAGTGTCCCTGCCCTCAACTCCTCAGGATGGACCATTTCCTTTGAAGTGGAAATCTGGCATCATGGCCCTGAGCCCCATGGGCTGATGCCAGGACTGAGCCAGCAAGAGTTAG